CCGTCCATGTGACTTGCTTTGGCCAATAAAATGTGGGCAGGGGCGAGATATGTTGCTTCTGGTGGAAGCATTTAATTGCAGTATGTGACAGACACTACAGCACTTTCTTCTTCCTGCCGCTGGAACCGACAGCATTCCAGATGGCAGACTCTGTTGACCTGATTCCCAGAGTAAGAACTCCAAGTCTACTTACAACAGACTTGCAATGTGAGCAAGAAAGAAACATTTGTTAAATGAATCCACTGGTTGTTACTGTGTCTATTGAAGGAGGTTATCGAGAGGATGTGACCTCCAGTTCACCCACGAACTGGATGGCAACAGAAGGCTCCTCACTCCCTCCCATCCTTGGAATCTACGCTCTGCCCACCATTCCCACAGTGGGAGCCATTTCAAGGACGTAGCCCTGAGAGAGGAGACCACCTGGACTGAATACGTGACTGACACCCATCAAGCCTTATGTGTAAGTTCCCTCACTTATTAAAACTGCCACCTACCAATCTAGAGTGGTCCGCCTCTTCCATCTCTCCCTGCCCTCCGTGTATGGGGGGTCAGTTTCAGATTTCACCCAGGAAATTGCCAAAGTTGCAAACCAACAGCATGATGCCCATAATCTAGCCCATCCTGACCAACATACCTGGGCTACTCTTGGGGTTCAGGCTCTCATCACTTCCTATCTGAGCTCCAGTACATGCTACTCAAAGCATGGTCCATGCACAGGTGTCAATCCACAAAATATCACTGGTCTGCAATAAGGTAGGTACAGAAATTGAGAATAAACATTTAGAAATTCTTACAACAATTTAACTGATTAACTTTACCTGTTGAGTCTAATAACAAAATATTTGGGCTTATAGTTCCCCAAAATTTTAGCATTGTGCTTTGCCCATGGGATGCTACAAAAATGCTTGTCAAATTAAATTGGATCAGGGGCCTGACCTGTGGCATAGTAGTTAAGTCCAGTGTGCTCCTCTTCAGTGGCCCAGGTTTGTGGGTTTGGATCCCAGGCATGGACCTACACTACTTGCCAAGCCACGCTGTGGTGGTGACCCACATACAAAATAGAGGAAGATTGGCACAGATGTTAGCTCAGGGCTAATCTTCCTCACCAATAAATAAATAAAAATAATAAATTGGATCAAAGCTCCAGGATTAAGTAGATTTATGGTAGGATTTCAGGCAGGTCTGGGGGATGTTCATGGTGCAAGACCCTTCGTCACTGAGGGTGAAATCATCATTTAAAAGTTCCCCGAGATGGGCAGGGATGTTAGCTCAGGGCCAGACTTCCTCAGCAAAAAGGGGAGAATTGGCAGCAGTTAGCTCAGGGCTAATCTTCCTAAAAAAAAAAGTTCCCTGAGTCTACTCTTTGTACCAGCACAAAATTTAGCTCCAACAAGCAGAGAATCTTTTTGAGCTCTTTCTCACTTAACATTAAATATTGTTTCAGTTAAGAGCATGGACATGAAAGTATTTATTCTTTGGAATATAACTTTGTAAATATATTATTGCCTATGAATATAATTTTTCAAATTATCCACAAATTGACATTTTGTGGCTTGACATTTTGATACATTTGTTCGAGTACAAAAGGGTAGTATAACTGAGCCCTAAATTACTTCCTCACTCCCTCCAGGACTAAGTAATTTTTTTTTCTTCTCAAGGCTCTTCGACACATTAATATATTTTTTTGCACCATACAAGAAGTAGGCAGCACGGTATTCTGAAAAGAACACGGGGCTGGGTGTTAGGAGACCTGGTTCTGGTCCTCATCACCCACTCACTTGCTACTAATGAAGCCTTTCGCTTAATTAACCACTTGGTGCCCTAATTGTTCCATCTATTAAATGAGGACAGGAAGTTAATAATAACAAGTAAACAACATCAGCTGTGTTGTGAGAATCAAAACAAAGAGTACTGAAGTGCTTCGTGGTGAATAAAGCGCCACACAATTATAACTCAGCATTTACATATAATACTGCCTTGTAATGTTCTCGTACACAGATTTTTCTCCTCTCAAGGCAGACAAGTCCTTGAGAGATGCACTGTGTAATATTTCTTTGTATCCTATCCAATGTTCAGTCTTTTGGGATAAACAATATACATACAATGATTGTTTGAAAACTGTTTAATTTACCAAAAGTTGTTGAACCTCTTCACCATTAAGTAAACTGCATAAACTTCATAAACTTCCTACGCTGCATGATGGGAATTTCTCACTCACATTGACAACATCCTATCAGAATTTTGGTTAAAGAGAGTTGTAATTGGTGATCTGAGTTCCTTGAGGGCACAGGTCGTATCTCATTAATCTTTGTATCCCCAGCACTTACCACAGTCATCTGAGCACATAGAAGGAGCCCAGCTAATGTCAAAATTAATAAATCAATGAACTTTAATTAAATCTTTCCTAATATTACCTCCATTCAGTACCCTGAAACCTAAAAAGCCAATCTTTGTTTGATTTTGGTTAAATCGATTTCTAATTTCCAGAATCATCTAAACATTTTAAAAGCACACTCACCCAAAAGTCACATGATTTTCCCATCCTCTTTCCTTAGTGAGCACAAGCAGTTCTAATTCAAAGATCATTGAGAGGATTAGGCTGCAGGAGTGGGTGTGGCAAGGAACAGAACAGATACTGGTCTGAAAGACAGGAAAAATTGTACTAATTGTTTAAGGGATACGACATTCTCCTGTGCATGTAAACAATCAAGGTAAAATATGGCAGATGAATAAAGAGCTCCTGTATAGAACTATAAACTTTGGCAGGAACCGCTGTGCTGCAGAGCGAAAGGCTTCCTGCTGGGGGCCGCAATGGAAAAAGTGACCTCAGAGAGGAATCCAGAACAGAAATGCTCAGAAAGAGGAGATGAAACATCATAAAGTTTTGGTTAAGTCATTTGGTTCCAGGCATATAAAAAGCGTAAAGCTGTTTCAGATTAAAAAAAAAATGCAGATTACATGAACTTTGTAGATTATTCTTCTATTCTAATTGTGAGAATTCCAAAGTGCCTCTGCCCTCGTGATCCTCAGAGACCTATTCTTCTAGGGAGGCCCAGGCAAGGGAGGCAAAATAAGGTAGTCTGGAGCTGGTCATCCAATGTTCCGCTGAGCCACGCAGCGCCCAGGGTGCGCTGACTAGGGACTCCAGAAAACAAAGGCAAAGACGGCACTAGAGAGAAATCATTGTGTCCTTGCTCACTCTCCTAGAGAGGGCTCCCCTTTTAAGGAAAAGTTTATATGTGTTACAGTAGCAATTTATGTCTTTCACCACCATATTTAGACACTTCAGTGAGTGTTTCAAAGCGGAGGTCTCTTGCTATGTGATGTGATCCTGAAACTTATGTAATAAATTAGGCTTTTGCAAGGAAAAAATAAAAATGCATCATGTTATATGGATATGAACAAGACCATAATCTAGAAAAAAACCACCCACCCCATCCACCCTTACCCCAAACAAGCTTTTATTTTTAAATATAGACCTACATTTTGAGCAAAGCATGAATCAAGTCACATATTTAATGTCAGTAGAGAGTGTAATTTTAGAGGAATGCCAGAAAGAAAAAGGGGGTGTGAGCACATAAAACTTATTTATATTTTTATTTATGCTATTTCCCACACATTGAAAATAAATTTTCAAGAGCACCGCTTTTCAAATTAATCTACTCCCGGCCTCTGAACATTTTGTTTAGCACTGCCCTCTAGTGTCCAAACGGATCATCTTCGTTTGCATTGAGGCAGAAAGTAAGCTACTATATAGTGAAGTCTACAAGCAGCATTCATTCACCAAATAATTTACTGAGAGCCTAGAATACGCGATTACTTTGGAAGATGATGGGATACACAGACGTATTAAAAAAAAAAAGGCCCTGTTCCTTGTTCTGTTCTCAAGGAGCCCACAATGTAACAAGGGAGACAAACGTAAATGCGGTTACAAACATACTTGATCACACAAAAGAAATTAACTTTATTTAGCTTTTCACTAAAACGAGACAGACACAGCTGGGTTGTCTCCTTTTCCAAACAGTTCTGGACCATTATTCACATTAGCAGGTATCTGGCTGGCTTTGAACAGAACAACTTTGGTCAAGTACACAGGGAACATTCTGAAACAGAGTAAACATGCCAGGACGTACAGTGGGATCGAGGCCTAGTTTTAAAGATTTCTGGGAGAAAGCTCCTTTCACAGTCAACCCCAAAAGACACTCTGGTCTTGTAGTACCTAAGAGCCCACTAGTCACCAGATCTGACACACAAATCTAACATTCATTAAGCCTTACTCTTTTTTTCTGAAAATGTAGATTTTCCCTAGCACTGCGATGAAAAGTCTTAAAAGCAATCAAATGGCGGAGACCCTAAGAACTGATCACAAACTGTTTTAGGATCCTTAGATCTGCAAATTGCCAAGTGGAGTCACAGAAACACACACTGTTCTGAACTGGTGCATCCTCAGGCCTTCTGGGGAAGCAGAGGGAGTCTGAAGGAGTTGTCGGGACTTTTCCATTCAGGATAAAAGTGAAATTCAAACATCGAGTCAGGAACTACTACAGACCAAGAGTGAGGCTTTATACCATTTGGTAACGTTCCTACTTTTCACCATGTTTCCTTTCTTATTTTCTGGAGTAATTAGCCATGATTTGCTTGTAACCAACAGAACATGGCAAAGGTGACAGGATGTATACGATTACCTTACGTAAGATTATAAGGTCCATCTTGCTGAGACTCTCTCCCTTGCTGGTTTCAGGAAGCAACCAGTCACACTGGCAAGGCCCATGTGGCAAAGAGCTGAGGGTGGCCTCTTGCCAACAGCCCACCAGAAATTGAGACCCTCAGTCCACCAGCTCACAGGGCATTGAAAACCACTACGACATGAGTGAGGAAATAATCCTTCTCCAATCAAGTCTCAGATGAGCTTACAAAGGACCCAACTTTGAGATATTAAATATGTGTTTAAAGTTGCTAAGATTGTGGTAATATTATCATGCAACAACAGATAAGTAAGATAGATTTCAAGACACTTTATTTTAAAACACTTTTATTATAAAAGTAATACAAATAAACAAAAACTGAAATATTGAAGAAAGACAAAGTCATCCATTTACTGCCCTGCCATCCTATTATAACTACAGTAGTTTGTCATCTTTTTATTTATATGCTTGGTGTGTTATTTACAGCTATGATCATACCCATTCAAACACTTTTGTACCTTGCCTTTTTACCAAATATTTTCTCATGTTTCTCATTATATTCATTACTAATTTTTAATGAGTACATAATGTACCATTCATTGGCTATATATATCTGTTTACTGACTACTTCCCCAGACCAGGGGTTGGCAAACTATGGCTCTGCATTTGGAAGTAAAGTTTTATTGGAACACAGCCACGCCCATTTGTTTATGTGGTTATTTTTATACTACCAACTGCAGAGTCCAGAAGCTGTGAGAGAGACTAGGGCCTGCAAAGCCTAAAATATTTCCTTTCTGGCCCTTTAGAGAAAAAGTTTGCTGATTCCTGACTTAAACTTTTAAGCGATTTATAATTTGGGCTATTACAAGTAATGCCACTTGGAACATCTTTGTGCATATAATTTTTTGTACTTTAGGCAACTTAATTGGGAAGTATTAACAAAAGCAGAATAACTGAGTCTACTTAATAAAGATGTTTTCAAGGCTGACACTGTCCACCACTGTCTCTCTTGTAACATTCTAGCTATGCTATAATAAGGGTGGTGGTAATAAGAATGGAAAGGATGGCCCTGTACTCCTGTAGGTAGCACTTCTCTGGTCCCTATTAATCTAGACATGTAATTTTACACTCTGGATGAGCATATTTTTAGTTTTGATTTAAAGTTAACCAAAAAGGGAAGTAACAGTAATTGGAACATGAAAACCAATTGAAAGAAAACTTTTACTTTCTACTGGGGCTGAAAAAGCAGACTGAAGTAAACTCTGCAGGTGTCAAGGTGTATGCCATGCCATTCCAGGCTCGCCGTAGTGGCCATAATGCCCCGGGAGGGCTGAGTAAGGGAAGGCGGTGGCAGTCTCAACAGTCTAGTAGTGGCAGCAGTGAACAACGAGGCAGCTGTGGGTGCGGGATGACAGAAGAAACACACGTACTCCATCCCTTGGAACACATCCTAGGCATAAACTTGTATACAACTGTAATTAATCTGTCTCCAGATAAGAAAGTTCTAGAGTAACTACCCTACACTTCTTAACAAAAAAACATTCTTCTATCTGGGAAAATTTTATTCTTCAAAAAGAAAACTTATGGATTATGACCAGCTGAGTCAACCCTGACTATCTCTGAGATAAAAGACGAAGCAGGCTGATGGGTCTCAAATCCACTCTTGAATGAACAAAGTAAGCATCGGGAAGTATAGGTGTCATCTTCTAAGAGAAATATTCTGCAACATAAAAAAAAAACATATCAGGATAGACCTTTTCCCCAACAAATTATATAAAAGTAAAATTAGAAAGATATTTAATGTAATTATCCCAATTATGCCAACAAGTATGTAAAGAAATCATATATAACATCTTTACTTTATTAAAATGTTCCTGTCAAAATGTCAACCAACTTAACATTTCCTAAAGAAGTGTTCTTTTGGTTAAAACTATTATTAGCCTTTTCACTCGACCTCAGTTACTCATCAAATAATTAAATGCATCACGATTTCGTGAAGTACTCTGGGGAACTCTGAAATTCTCCATAGAGTAAGGAAATCAAATTATTTCTGTGAAAATAACAAAGAACATGTTACTTTGAACAAAATATAGCCAGTGTTCTGAGGTATGAGAATCAAGTCATTTTTTTCCTTGAATTTTCATATTGCAAAGGAAGTCATTCTATGAATGGCTCGACTCACACTTAAAATCATGTCATAATTTTCCTCTTTTTTCACTGTTTACTGATAGTTGCCTCAAAACTGACCTGAGGGTCTGGCAGCATAAATCCATCAGTTAGTTTATAATAGACTATGGTGGAATCAGACTCCACTATGGCCAAAGTAAAAGACATCGGCAAGTCTGGATCACCTTGCAATTTTCGAGATGCCTTCAAGATCTCCCTTATCCTGAAAATAAAGTCACAATACATTTAGGATTCACAGTCACTCAGTTAATAATAAGATCAAATACTGTAAAATATTGGGGAAAAGGTAGGCAATTACATTATATGCCTAATGCTAAGGAAATATCTGAAGGCTCAAATATAAACATTTAAAGTTGTCTTTTCTTACAGAAAAACCTGCAAGTAAGGGCTATCTACTGACTTTTGGTCCTCCTCTTCTGTATTCACCCTTCTCTCCTGATCATTATACCTGAGAGAATCAAACTGTATTTAGGAATCCACAGAATGGGAAATTAATAGTGTTTAGTGCATCTAAATTGGCTAAGGATCCTGGGTATTCGTTTTCCAATTTTCCACCTTGGTATCTTATAGTGGAACAATTTCACATTCAGGTTTTTCTTTTTAAATAGACTATAATAAATGTTTCCTCCATGTTCCTACATGGTGTTCATAATTATCACTTTTAAATAGCTATATAATAGTCTATTGATCCGTAATTTACCCAATCATTCCCCATGGCTATAAAGTGCTTTCAGGCGTTCTGGGGTGAGAAGGGCACTAATAAAGAAAAGCTGTGATGATCATCTTTCTGCAGGTAGTTGTTTCTTTTCAAATATTTCTATTGGGTCTTTCCATGTATCAGAATTATTAGATATGAATATAGATATTTTGATGGTTCTCAATATGTATTCTGATACTCAATAAAAGCTAAGAAAAAACTATAGATTTTTGCAAAATTATATACCAAGCATCAATGTATTAAAGGATTTCAATTTGCTTGCTGTGGAAAATAATTTACCAAATCTAATATCTAGGTCTTCAAAGCACTATTAGCTTTTGTTTACCACAAACTAAAAATCCTTATAACCTACTCAATAAAGCCTGTGTTCAATAATTCAGTAAAATGCAACCTCCAGAGGAGCTTTCTTAAAAAGGCAAATAAAAAATGATTAGTTATTTTTTCATTAAGTTAAGCAATTCTCCAGAAATTGGAAAAAGATTTCCTAGCATATTAACATGCTACAAATGAATATGTAAATAACTCAACACTATATTCTCTTCAGCAAAAGTGTAATTTGGCCCCTTAAGTTCTACTTCCCATCTCTAAATAAAAATTCGTATGGTCACTCTTTACCCATCCTATTAGCTGTTGAATCTATAAAGAGTATAAAAAGAAAAGTCTCGGCTTTAAAATATTCTTACTACAATAATTAAAATGCTTTTTTTTTAAATCTGTAGTAGAGACTGGAGACTTTAAAGTGATTTAAAACACCAATAAACTACTGGAAAAGCTGAAATTAAACTGTTTTTGCTAAAATATCACTTAATCATTGCATAATATCTTAGAGTGACAACTGGTTTGTTAAAACAGTCAAAAAAGGCTGCTTACCTACTACGTATCATTGAAGTTTACACAGGCATGTAATGTATAAGGAGAGAATGAGTTTCTAAGTTTGTTTCCTCATTTTCAAACCATTGCTAAAATGACCTTGAAAGATTTGTCAACAACATGGTAATACTTCAGTAGTTAAGCATAACTGTCAGGCAACATTTATTGGATAAATAAAATCTGTCTACCTGGCAAAATCTTAATTCCTTTTCAAGAGTCAGCAAGGCATCATCTTCTCTCTGAAGTCTTCCCTGCCACCTGTCTCCACCCTCTACGCAAAGTTGCGTATCTGACCCTATGGAGGCACCTTGTGCAAACCTACATTACTATAATTGTTACCTTGTATTTATACACCTAAGTGCCTGTATTCCACTGGATTGTACCCATTTTGAGGGTCAAATCTTTTTTAAAAAAATGCGTTAATGCCCAATATGTAGTAGACTACCTCGGTAGAATGAATGAAGATTTTTGAATGAAGGTTTCCATGTGGCTATAACTAACTCTTCAGGTACATAAGCTTTAAAATATAATTCTAAAAAACATTTTTCTAAAATTCACTATGCAATTCTATTACACTAAATAAAAGTTCAACTTCTCTTGACAGCTGAAGGTCATCATTTTTGGTACTTATTATTGTAGATACAGTGGTAGATGGTGTACCAAAGAACTCCCTAGAATTTAATTTCTTAAAAGTATCTGATATTTGCTTGCTTTTTGTTCATCAAAACATTCAAATTGTTTTATCATTTGTCTCTAGACCAGGGCTTGGCAAACTATGGTCACCTGTTTTTTTATGGCTCACAAAGCTAAGGATGGTTTTACATCTTTAAATGGTATATTTTAAATAGTCATATAAATACCTACATTAATAGCCTTGATTTTGCCACTCTGTCCACAAAGACTAAGATATTTACTACTGGGCCCTTTAAGAAAAAGTTTTCTGACTCCTACCCCCACACTATGAAAAAGGTTAAAAATAAAAATTGTAAGATGTCATCACCAGGGCAGTGCACTTTCTTTTTTTTTTTTCAATATTATTGATTCAAAAGTCAGAGTGGGAGGAGGTTCCACTTCTAATTAGGATATAGAAGACCTCAAAAGACCACCATTCCTACCATGACAGAGAAAACACCTGATCTGCTTAAAAATATAGCATTTTTCTTCAAAGCCATTAAAGAGATGTGAACACAAAGAAGTTTGAAGGAACTAAATTCCGGCGAGAAGTGAGCCTTTCCCTGGAAAGTAGGGACCAAGAAACAGACACTTCCATCTGCCACTTGCCATTCCTCAGGCAATTGCCAAGTCTGGGCACAGTGTCTGGAGGAGTGAGCTAGTCACAGGCAAGCAACTTCCCTGGGACACCAGGAGAAAGAACGCAGCAGGACTTGTAACAGCTGCATGTGAAGTGGCATGGTAGACTGGAGTCTGGAGGGACACCAACCCCTGCAGTTCACCCTCTCCGTCCTAAGACTTCTGTGGCGTTTAAGCGACAGCATGAAAAGCTGGTGGAGGGACCTGAGAATGGCAAGCAAGCTCTCATTAAAAGCCCTGCTGACGAGAGAGGACTGATCCTATTCTCAAGACACGTGAAGCTGAGACAACTGAGGCAGCTAACATCGTACTGCAGCTGTGGCCCTCCTGACTTCTGATTGGATCCACCCAACAAGCCCTGACCCGACTTGCCAGAGAGAGGAGAGGATGAGCTCTGGGGCAGGGAGCACCACCAACATCAATCTCTTATAAATGCACAATGTCCTGTATTCAGCGAAAAGTCCTAAACTCTGTGAAGAAGCAGGAAAATGGACCTAATAATCCCAAGCGAAAAGTCAGTATAAGAAGACCTTCAGAAAACTACGGCTGTTGGAAAAGCTCGGATGTTGGAATTAATAGTTGAAGACTCTAAAATAACTATTACATTATAGTATTAAGGAAATAACCCAGACAAAATAGGTGACAAGATGAAAAATTTAAACAGAAAAATGGAGACTCTAAAGAAAACGGACATTCTAGAATTTTGAAATAATATATATTTTCAAAGCATTGACTAGGCTTAATAGTAGACTAGACATGGCTGAAAGGATTTAGTAAACTTGAAAACAGGTCACAAGAAAACAAATTGAACTACAAAGACAGAAAAGAATAAAAAAAGCCATCAGAAGTCTTTGGGACACTATCAGTTTAACACGTGTAAATGGAATTACAGAAGGAAAGGAAAGAAAGAGTGGTGTATGTCTCAGTCTGTTCAGGCTGCTATAACAAAATATCACAAACTGGGCAGCTTATAAACAACAGAAATTTATTTCTCACAGTCCTGGAGGCTGGAAAGTCCAGATCAAGACTCTAGCCTGGTCCTGTTCTGGCGGAGACCCTCTTCTTGGTTCACAGTCAGCACGTTCTCACCGTGTCTTCACATGGTGAAAGGGGCAAGAGATGCCTGTCTTGGGGTCTCCTTTATAAGGCACTAATCCCATTTATGAGGGCTTCGCCTTCATGACTTAAGCACCCCCAAAGGCCCCACCTTCTAATACTATCATCTTCAGGGGTTTTAACATATGAAATTTGGGGGTACACATTCAGAGTATAGCAGTGTAGAAGAAATAGTAAGACTTTTCCAAAATTGTTGTCTCTAAATGTAAAGTGTGTTTCTTATAGAGAGTATATAGTTGGATCTTGTTTTTATATCCACTCTTAGAATTTCTGCCCTTTGATTAGAGTGTTGAATCCATTCACATTTAAAATTAATAGATATTGTTAGATTTATGTCTGACATTTTGCTTTCTATATATCACGTCTTTTTTGTTCTTTGTTCCCCCTTTGCTACCTTCTTTTGTATTACATAGATATTTTCTACTGCACTGCTTTAATTTGGCTGTGTTTTTTTTACTATATTTTTTTGAGTTTCTTAATGGTGGTTCTTGAGATTACTATATGCACCTTAATTTATCACAATTTATCTCAGATTAATAATAACTCAACTCTAACAAAATACAGAAACTGCTCCAATATAGCGGTATACCTCTATGTCCATACCTGGGATTTATTGTAAGGATCAATGAGGTGGCACACTTTGAAAAGGCTTTGCAAACTGTCAAGCAGTCACTGAATATAAGCTTTATTATATAGTATCTATACCAAATTTTGCTACCTTACAAACTGGGACATAATGTTTGTATCCACCCCCCTCCCCTTAAAAAACAAATTTCCACCTACGTACAACTGCAGGACAATTAGCTAGATTTCTGTTCATATCAGAGTTTACTTTAGAAAGAGATGTTTAGAAGAAGCAACCACAGATATTAATCAGAAACCTCATTACACAGCATTCATGGGGAAGTGACATTCTGAAGACACTGAAATACACACAAGTTAAAATAAGTTTCTTTAAACATCCCTAACTGGCAGGGTATGACAAGGATGGGAAACACATGGAAGGGAAACAAACCCATTAGGACAACTTTTGCAAATTTTCCATTTCTCAAGATATGCTATTGTTTAAATCAGAATGTATGTGTGTGTGAGTGCGCACAGGCACATGTGTAGTTTTTCCTAAGGTAAACTGTGTGGGAATTTTAGCCCATATATTGAAAATTAGGATAGAAATTTCCATCTCGTTT